TGATGAACTGGTGGAACTATTAAACTCTGATTTGAAAAATATTAGTAGATGGCTCTCGGATAACAAACTGCAACACCATACTACTAAAACTAAGCTAATGTTCATAGGCTCCCGGGACAATATCAAAAATAAAATTGGAGATAAATTAGTGACCTTTAAGAATAAACCATAAAAACGGTACAGATCTTTTAAATGTTTAGGAGTTGAGTTGGATGAACACCTTAGTTGGGAAGTTCACATTAATGCAATCTGTAAAAAGGTTGGTGCGGGGATAGGAGTTTTAAAACGAACAAAACCATTCGTCCCCAATGAAACCCTGCACATCATCTATAAGGCGTTAATTCTGCCATACTTTGATTATTGCTCCCCTTTGTGGGATAATTGCGGAATTGTAATAAAAGAAAAACTACAGAGATTCCAAAATGGAGCTGCAAAGGTGTTGACGGGAGTAAGTTATGATACCAACTCCCTGAGCTCCTTGAACGGCTTAACTGGAAAAATCTTGAAAACAGATTTAGATTTAATAAAGTGGTTCTGGTATACAACATTCTTAATAATGGTACTGCCCCCTGTCTTCGAGAATTCTTTTCTGCACGAAGCAATAATGATAATGACTATCATCTCAGAAATTATGATACAGATCTCTCACTTCCAAAACCTAAGAAAGAATTTCTTAAAAGAAGCTTTAGGTATAGTGGAGCTGTACCAGGGGCGGATCTAGGGGTTGGCAAATAAGTCGCGCGACTAACGTAAAAATAGCGCAGATAATTACAGATTCATAAAATTGTCCAGTACTCCAGTTGTAATCTTTCCTGCAGTGATAGCAAATGTAATTAATATTCACAATAGTCCAGTTATCAAGTTTCATTCAGTGGTTGTAAGCTCAGTGGCCTTGACTTACTTGAGGCATATTCTAGCCATTTGATTGGTCGAGAATGGTTTTGCCTCATCTTCGTGGGGGTCTGCCTTATTTACGTCATCTATGAGGTATCTGATTGGCTGATTGAAGGAGAATTCTTCTCTCTCATTGGTTCAACTTTTTTGCCTCATCTTCGTGGGGGTCTGCCTTATTTGCGCAATATTTGAAGTTGTGATTGGTCGAAAAAGACCAAATTCTCTTGTCTCATTGGCTCATATTTTTTGCCTGATCTGACTCATTCGGAAAGTTTATTCACCGCGAAGATTAAATTGACGTACGAGTATGACGACAATATAAAATGTATGTGTAAAAATACTCAGTGGTTCCCGCAATATAAAGCATATACGAGACTGTCCACTCTAGATCATTACTTCAATACAAGATCGATATATCGAAGAGCTTTTAGCCGCTATTCATACCAAGCCTATCCACAACTATATCACCAGAACCAGTCTCGCCAAAGATTTCAATTCGGTGCTCGTCCACCACAATAGAAATGTACATCGATAAGGTTAGGAGATTATATTTATATTTTAGTTCATAGTCTGGTGCTATAAAGTAAGCTTTAAAACCTGCTTAAAGTGTGCTTATTGACGGCGGTAATAAGATCATAAAAGCGGTTTGGCTGCTTAAATTAACTGTGTGCAACCATAGTTAAAGCTATAAAGTATAAACCGCTTTTGTGTTCGTTTATATTTGTATCGGGCAATATTTAATTGACGTATTAGTAGCGACAGAATCTGGAGATTTTGAGATTACATGGTCGGGTGTTATCCTGTGTTGTAATACGATATCTAGAAATAAGCGGATTTTGTGAATGTTCGTGTGAAATCTTGTTGAGAATTGCCCCCGAGATAATCCTCAACACAATAGTTTCTTTTAGCTTTTATTCGACGCTACAAACTATCCTAATTTCACAAAATCTCTCACTAAAAAACCTCCCACTAACAATAACAACAACCAGTGTCTTCTGTAACTTCCCGATTCATTACAGTTCTGACTCGCGGGTCCCACGTGTGAACAAAACATTATTTTATACTAAATATATTGATTATTAACAGTTTCCGACAATTCGTTTGTTATATAATATGACGTTTTGTTGACAGGAGGGTCAAAAATTTATTTATTAAAAGAACATGCCGGTGTGTAAAACAAAATTACGCTGCAGTCATGGACGAAGGTCATGCACTCTTGAGCTCCGATAATATAGATTTTGAATTGGCTGATAAGACCTCAACTAATGTTGTAGATCAAGCAAAACACACAAATGGTACGTCAAAGTATCTTGTTGTAAATGACAAGAACAAATTCAAATGGATAGGCCCTTTTGAAGGTCTCAAAAATTTGATGAACGAATTGACCGGCAAAGAAACAAAATGGTCGTCTCCCGGCGGCTATTGTAAGTTGCTTGAGCTGAATGAAGTTGTTGTAAGATGGTATTCAGATAGTAACTCACTTACAATTAATGGAAAGTTTTTTGATGAGTTTAAGACTCAACTTATTGATCTCAACAAACAGCTACAGTTAGAATCCGAAGACACAAATGCTGCCTGTGTCTCTGGTAATAGCGAAATATCAATCAACTTTGATGAGGAAGTAGCTAGCCTGCGAACAGGCTCACTGGGAGAAAGGTGAGCCTGCACGGAACCATGCGTTTTATTCAATCATCCCCTTTTCGCATCTGCTAAACGCGTACCAATCAGCGTCGACTGCGATAAATAAACTGTCAACTGTCAAATTGACGCAAGGCGTGTACATTGTGCAACGAAGAAATACTGAATATTAAAATGTATACATAATATATATATATGAACAATAATACAAAGCATTAGCGGGCCGCAAAATATATTACTCGGAAAAATATAGAATTCTTCAAATATTAAATAGATATCAATACACATACAAATATAAAGCCGAATAAAATACTACCATTGGCATTGAATGTACAGTAATACTTGTACTATGTGCGACTGAAAGAACAATGTTCTGAATATTTGAAGCTATTACTAAAATATTACGGTCAGATAGATTGGGGTTTGGAATATCGAATACGTCTAAAATTTTACTAACTGTGGTCTAAATAAATGATAAATGAGCATGTATTTATTAATTTCTTCGAAATCACGAGTGTGCCAATAGTGGAATGGCTATCGACGACGAAATTGTCAGCAGTTTATACAGTAAATAGTACAACGTTTAATGTACGATTATATATTATAAGACTATCGAACAAATAAAACTAGAAATAGAAACCAAAAGCAATAGCAAAGCATCACAGCAAAAAAGTCTATCATAAATGACTTGAATCTATCGCTTAAATCTAATATACGAAACTATAACAGTATTCTGAACTTCGTCTTCGGATTGACATCAGACTATAGTATAGTACATTTTGAGGTCGTTGTGGCTTCACAGATTATTCTCATTAGTGAGCAAGTCAGCAAGCGAAGGCATACAAAAGATACCCAAATATGTACGAATAATTATATTGTTGATCCTCACTGGCATGTCATTTAGATAAATATATATATTAAAATGAATAAAGTTCAGTTCAAATTCTTCAAAATGCTGTTGTTGACATTCGCTATTTTTAGTAATTTTGTCAACGAGTGTAAGCCAATCAGAAGCCTGCGTTTCTATACGAACGCCACTACCAAGAAAACCTATAGTTCCGTGCAGGCCCTCTATTCTTCGCGCCGCCCGTAACCCAGGGCCTGTTCGCAGGCTAGGAAGTAGCAAGTAACGAAAGCGAGAATCAAATTTCCAGTGGTCAGTTAAACGAGTATGAATCATTGCTTAATACCGTAAGAAGCCTTGAGGCGAAGTTGGAAAGTAGGATAAATGATCTCGCAAGCGAAGTGCACGAGACTAGACTAGAATTACAAGTCGAGAAAATTGCGCGAGGGAACCTAGAAGCTGAATACACAGAACTTACAAGCGAAGCTCTGGAGATAAGATCAGAATTAGATATCAGGAACCTCGCAAGAGACGAGAACGAAATCATTAAGTCTCGTGACGAATCAATATCTACGGTTTTTAATAAGGGATTTCTCGTTAAAGAGAACGCTAGTCTTAAAGATGAAAATGCTTTACTTAAACAGCAGATTAACAACTACAAATGTATTACATCGGACTTGAGAACAAAGGTCAAAGATTTAGAAAATGAAAAAGACAGCTTGGTCACCGTCATTAAAATTCTACAAAGTGAGCAAGAACAACACAAAACTGAGGCATTGTCATCGTGGAATGTCGTAAACAGACACAAGAAAAGCACTAAAAGCCGAAACGCCTTAGAACAAAATCCCAGTGGAAAACATCAACGACACGATTTGCAATTACAAAATCAATTCATTGATCTGAGTGATTGCGAAAGCGACGGCAACGAAAGCAACACAGATATATCAGCCAAACATGGAGAGAAGCCAAGGCAAAGCGGAGACAAACCAAACCAACGCCGAAGCGGGCAAAATAGTCGAAAGATCGAAAGACGCCAGCAATCCAAAGGAAACATACAAGATCGTCAATCAAATTTGGACGAACGGAAAGATAAAAGCGAACCCAAAGCGACAAAACAAAGGCAACCTAACATTGTAATCTTAGGGGATTCAATGTTAAAACATTTAAATCCCCGACGAATTCAGCAAGGAATTGACCAAAAGATATCAATAAAAACCTTTCCTGGAGCTGGTGTTGACGAAATGACCCACTATGTTAAACCGACGCTCCAAAAGAAACCAAAGCATATTATCCTGCACATAGGTACCAATGACCTGCAAACGAAATCGCCAGATGCGTTAATTAAAGCTGTGACAAAACTTTAGAAAGTGGGAAGCTATAACGCAAGAAATAAGTGGTATTGAACTTACGCTGTCGGAAGTCATCACAAGAACCGACGATTTGCAACTTGCTGATAAGGTAAACATTTACAATAATAAATTAGACAATCTATGTACTGAAC